CCCCCCCCCCCCCCCCCCCCCCCCCCAGTAAACAACCGCTTTGACCTACAAAAGGCAGGTGAGGCGATACTACTCCTTCTTTATGTGACACCAAGTTCATAGACAGCTTGCCTCTGTGTCAGGGAGGTTGAAGTCATTTTTAGGCCACAAAAGTTTCATTATTAATGGAATGCTGTTGGTGCCAGGCTCTGGTTTTTGTTATGATGGTGCCTTAGGGTGACATCAGTCTGCGAGAGTAGGAACAGAGCTCATTTGTTATCTTACCGACGGCAGCGGCGGTCTTTGACGTGGGAAGGTTAGTGCAGTCCCCAATCCCAAACACATTGGGGTATTTCTTGTGCTGCAGAGTTTCTTTATCCACATCCACCCAACCAGCAGCGTCAGCCACGGGACTGGTCTTGAGGACATCTGGCGGGCTCATTGGTGGCGTCACATGAAGCATTTCATACTACAGAAAAGGACAGCATCCAAATTTATGTTTACTGCAGTATCTCCACAGCCCTGCAGCTGTCCCCTGATCTCCCTCACCCACACACCGTACTATGGCCGCGTGGCACACTGTACACTGTACTAACCCACACCCGCCCTGAGGGTTTCCATGCTTCCGTGCAGCATGGTGATAAAACAACTAACCACTCTCTCAGTTGATGTCGTCTCCCCATACAGAATCAGCATGATCTGTCTGGCCAGAGGCACGGGGGAATCAGAAATGCTAGAATGAACCTCACTAACATTCTGAAAGAACCCACTGACGTTTCTATTATTACTAAAACAAAGGAAGTGGTGCTTCTCAGTTGCCCTCTCCCTGACCCTCAGCTGACTACTCATAAAGTCTGATACTTCCGTTTTCTATCGCAAAATGGTGCTCAGAGTTGCTGAAGCCCACAAAGGCCATGTTCATGGCTGGTTAAGTGAGCACCATTTTCAAACATGGGTCAACTCTCAAAATACATAAAGGAAGCCATCGGAACACCAACTTAAGATGACATAAAAGGGGGCGCCTGGGTGGCTCAGTCAGTTGAGCATCCAACTTCAGCTCAGGTAATGATCTCTGGTTTGTGGGTTTTGAGCCCTACATCAGTCTCTGTGCTGACAGCTTGGAGCCTGGAGCCTGCTTCAGATTCTGTGTCTCCCTCAATCTCTGCCCCTCCCCTCCTCATGCTCTATCTGTCTCTCTCTAAAAAATAAATAATAAACATTAAAAAAATTTTAATACAAAAGATGACATAAAGGGTGATGTGAATATTAGCTAGCATTTTGGAGAGAGAGATCTGCTTCAGTAATAGGTTTACTGAATAGCGTAGGGGGACAAGATAGTTTGTCTGTTTGTATGTTTTTCCCAGAAAACCTAGATCAGTGTTACCCTTGGTAGCAGTGCACTAGCCCATCCCAATCAATTTGGATGGCTCATTTCATTTGTTGTTTGTTTATGAAATACTTACTTGCTTATGTGATATTTTTGTGGTTTATTCTTTCTACTCGTTTTATTATTATTTATAAACTCCATCCAGCAATTTCAAGCTGATTTAAGAGCTCCACAAACATTTCATTAAGGCGAAAACTTTAGCATCTTAAGACAATCCCCACCTTGTGATAGCCCATAGCCCCTGGTTTCTATAAGGAGGTCCACACCCTTGTCAGGGCTGGACAGTCTTTGACAGCACAGGGAGGTAAAGAGGTGACTTGTATTTATTCCCCCTCTCAGACAATTATAAGCTTAATTAACCTTAAAGTAAAAAAGTTCTGTCAATGGGCTCTGCTCCTCTGCAAGGTGATCTTGGGTGGTTCTTTAAGGGCATGGGTTCCTGAGGCTGGCTGTGTTAATGAATGAGGAAACTAAGCACATGTCTGCAGGATAATGAATGGAATGGTCCGCAGCCATGAGCCACCACATTATTAAAGCTATGTCTGTTTTTCTATAGTTAAGTAGAACGACTTTTTTTTAGCTGAGGGCTAAGTCTTCCCAGAGTCATATCTACCTGTTGGCGTTAATGTGCTTAAATTTCACAAGTACACATGAATTCCACACATCTTTGCTAGAATATTTCCATATAATCATCATAAAGGCATGAAGTTTTACTCACACCAATATCCTGCGAAAGATATAGTAGGATCTGCTTTATAGATTTATTAAAGATTAACATTGGCATTTGGTTGTAGCTTGTTCTTTATCCACTATTTCCATAAACTGTGTGTGATAAATAACTTGGTTCTCCTTCATAACATAAATAATCTATTCAGGGTTGTGGTTTTCAAACTTAAATGTTTATAAGCAGCATTTGGGTGACCTGTGGGAAAGGCAGGTTCCTGGGCCCCACCACCTGTGATCCCAATCCAGTAGGTCTGGGTGAGGCATAGGAATCGGCACTTTAGCAAAATCTCCTAGCAATCTGGACACATGAAACCTGTAGGTGACAGTCTTAGAAGCTTTGGCTTGAAGGAACAGGTTCATTTACAATAAAAAACAGAAATTTATTATATGGGTAAGTTACTTCAACTTCCATTTGTTTATCTATAAAGAAATACATTACAGGGGTGCATGGGTGGCTCAGTTAAGCTTCTCTCTCTCTCTCTCTTTTTTTCTTTTTAATGTTTATGTATTTTTGATACAGAGCAAGAGACAGAGTGCAAGCTAGGGAGGGGCAGACAAAGGGAGGCACAGAATCTGAAGCAGGCTCCAGGCTCTGAGTTTGTCAGCACAGAGCCCAACACGGGGCTCGAACTCATGAGATCATGACCTGAGCCAGAGTCTGACACTTAACCAACTGAGCCACTCAGGCACCCCTAAGCATCTAACTCTTAATCTCAGCTCAGGTCATGATGTCACAGTTCATGAGTTTGAGCCTCGAGTCAGGCTCTGCTCTGAGCCTGCTTAGGATCCACTCTCTCCCTTTCTCTCTGCCCCTCCCCTGTTCATGCTCTCTCTCATACTCTCTCTTTCAAAATAAATAAACAAAACAACAACAACAACAAAGAAACACATCACAGTTGACCACTGAACAGTGTGGGGTTAGGCTGTAGGCTTTCTTTTTCTTTCTTTCTTTTAATTCCTTACAATTAAAGGAATAAGGTAGTTCTCAATCCTGATTGTATATGAGAATTATTAGAGGAACTTTTGAAACGCCCAATCATCAGTCCACCGCCCAAACTAATTAATCAAAACCTGGGTGGGGGGCGGCGCCTGGGTGGCTCAGTCAGTTAAGCGTCCGACTTCAGCTCAGGTCATGATCTCACAGTCCGTGGGTTCAAGCCCCGCTTCGGGCTCTGTGCTGACAGCTAAGAGCCTGGAACCTGCTTCAGATTCTGTGTCTCCCTCTCTCTCTGCCCCTCCCCTGCTCTCTCTCTGTCTCTCATAATAGAATAAAGATATAAAAAAAATTTTTTTAATTTAAAAATAAAACCTGGGGATTAGACCCAGACATCAGAAGATTTAAAAGCTTCCCAGGGACCAGGGCTGAGAGCCACCACTTTAACACCTGTTGGTAGATTTTTTGAAATTCATATATTTTTTTTTAAATGTTTTATTTATTTCTAGGAGAGAGAGACAGAGACAGCGTGAGCAGGGGAGGGTCAGAGAGAGAGGGAGTCACAGACTGAAACAGGCTCCAGGCTCTGAGCTGGCAGTCAGCACAGAGCCCGATGCGGGGCTCGAACCCACGAACCGCGAGATCATGACCTAAGCGAAAGTCGGACGCTTAACCGACTAAGCCACCCAGGCGCCCCTGAAATTCATATTTTAAGAGTAGAATTGGGTCTGGAAAGAAAATCTGACCTGAAATCCTATTATTTAAAGGGGATACAAATATCTCTTTTCTTTATAAACCCTTTAAAAGAACGATAACGATTTAGGTATCCAAGTTTCTATCTGCAGCTTCAACAATCCTCAGCACAGCTGAGAACCAAAGTAAAAAAGACCAAATAACAAAATGAAGTTCATGCCCTCAAGCCCGTATAGTTTGCTCATAAAAGTATGTTGTGGGCCCTCACTTGTAGCCCATTCACTGTTACTTTACAAAGAATCAAACAAGTTTGGCTCTCTCATTTTCCAGCCACTAAAGAATTAACAGCAGCAGCTTAAAAGAGCTGAAGCGGGAAGGGCCTTCTAACGTCACTCAAACTGCCTGACACCCAGAAAAGAAGAAACCTGGAAAGCCACAAAAAGGACACATACAAAATCAAACAGCAGAGTACTTTGAGACCCTTTTATAAGGTGATAACTAGTCCTAGGAGGCCTTTATAAAGGCTATTCAACATAATGACCCTGAGTCGGGGCAGATGGATACTAGATGAGTCTGGGACATGCTGTGACCCCAGAAAGCAAGAAAGTGCTCAAAATATGATGGCAACATGTCACAAGGACATAGCCCTCTTGAAAGGGCTCCCACTGGCCAAATCTGGGACAATTTGAGCACCAAAAGGACGGTAATGTATTAAGGACAGCAATGAATTACAAACTACTGGAGGCAGTAAAAAAAAACATAAGTTTATACCTATAACTAATTAATTGAGAGAAGGGAGGGCTTTTGCAGACAGAATGCCAACAGCCTACTGTGAATGGTGGAGAGAATGCTTGATTGGAAAAATCATCATTTTGCAGCCGCCATAATAAAGACTGGACTAGGCAAAAGTCATCAGTGGATGGTAAATCCAGTGGGAAACCTAATGAGGAGGGAGTAAGGTGTTTGCTTGATCTTAAAGTGTCTCGCCCCAGACTTCTTATTAGTAACAAAGGAGGAAAAGATAATAATACACAGTGGAGAAATTGGGCCATCTTTTGACTGGTGATAAAAATAAATATCATCAATGAGGGGTAGATGACCATCATGTGCTCTCAAAGGTGATACACTAGAAAGACACGACATCGCTTAAGCAGCATTTCAGTCTCAAATGTAGAGCCTGAGGGGCACCTGGGTGACTCAGTCAGTTAAGCATCCAACTCTTGGTTTTGGCTCAGGTTATGATCTTGCAGCTTGTGAGTTCGAGCCCCGCATCAGGCTCTCTGCTATCAGCACAGAAGCCACTTTGGATCCTTTGCCCCCCTTTTCTCTGCCCTTCCACCACTGCTCTCTCAAAAATGAATAAATAAACTTAAAATAAAATGCATAGCCTAAAACTGATCACAAGAAAACATCAACAAACCCAACATGAGGAACATGCAATTAAAAAATAAAAGGGGGAGGGCTGTATTCTTCCAAAATATCCACCAGAAAAGGCTATGGAAATGTTCCAGATCAAAGGATGCTCAAGAGACATCACAAGTAGGGGCGCCTGCGTGGCTTAGTCGGTTAAGCGCCTGACTTTCGCTTAGGTCATGATCTCACGGTTCGTGGGTTCGAGCCCCACATCTCTGTGCTGACTGCCAGCTCAGAGCCTGGAGCCTGTTTCAGAGTCTGTGACTCCCTCTCTCTCTGACCCTCCCCTGCTCACACTGTCTCTCTCTCTCTCTCTCTCCTAGAAATAAATAAAACATTAAAAAAAAAATTTTAAAAAGAGACATCACAAGTAAACGCAGTATCTGCCTGTTGACTGGGTTCTGCCCTGGAGGAAGAAGCGTGCTATAAATGCTATTGGGTCAATCAACAAAACTGGAATACAAATGGTAGATGAAAACATTGTATCCATGCTAAATTTACTGAACTGGTAACTGTACTATGGTTATGTAAGAGAAGAGGGACCTCTCAAGAGATTTACAGCAAAGAATTTAGGTAAATGGCCATGATGTATGATGCATACATAACTTACCTGTAGATGCTTCGGGAATATTATATCATATCACATCATATTATATTACATTATGTGTGGAAGAGAGAGAGAGAGATCAAATGATAAAGCTAATAGGGTAAAACTAAAATAAGCGAATCTAGGTAAAGGCTACACACTGTACAGTTTTCTTTGTACTGTTTGCATTTTTCCCAGCTTCTCGAAGTTTAAGATTATTTGCAAATAAAAGTTTAATTTACTTGAGTCAGTAACACCTTAAATGATAGTCAAGACACACCATTTAAGAAAGGGAAAAAGTGTGCAATACATTTTAGAAAAAGCCCGCACTAGAAAGCCTAAAACGTGAAGTTTTGATGTTTACAAGATTAGTTGTTGGTTCACTTCAAAATTCCTTTTTTATGGAACCCTTCATTCCTCTAAAACTGCTGAATGAATAAAATGTCACTATACGTCAGTTTCTCATTGCTAACAGCTCTTGCCAGAGTGATATAAACAAATGATTCTTCCATGTATGCTTCTCCAGATGCCTTTACATCTTGTTCTTAATCCTCATACGCCTCTACAAAAGTACTATTCCCGCGACGCAGAAGACGAAACAGACAGACAGGATCCAAGCCCATAGACAGAGGCTCAATCTTCCCAAGTTAGGGTGTGGCTACAAAACACCTTTCAAGGGTTTTGAAGTGCTCCCTTTTGTGCACCAGTGAAAGGTGTTTAAAGACAACCTCTTCCACAGGGGAAAGACACCCCTGTCACACGTAAACTACCCACAAGCAGGGCTGTTTCTCACACAGCATAAATTGAGACAATCACAAAATCCTCCATTTAAGGAAGCCCTTCCTGAATTCTAGGCAGACCTGAAGTCATCACATATTTTTGGCTGCTTCAGGGGACCCAGTAGAAGAAAAGTGGAGATAGAAAATAGGATAAAAAAATTCACTTGAAACCAGTAGATACACCCTCCCCAGCCCATGGATATAGCCTCTTACCTGTTTCCCTTCCCCACCCATCCTGGTCCACCCTCTCTCCTACCCACTGCCCTAATATGCTCATTGCCATCGTAACCAGCCTCCCCCAGCCCGAGGATGGCAACAGGGAGGAGGGCGCCACAGTGTTGTTGGCATCTAGGGCACCGTTTAGCCGACAGCTTGACCTCGCCACTCACTGAAATCACTTGGGTCTCTCCAGGTTTGTCCAGATTCTCGAAAACAGCCTCTTGTCTATCGGCTCGGACTTCGATGAGGTTTTGCTTGTAGTTAACAGTGAGGTTCCGCTCCTGAATGATCTCCTGAAGGGCAGCAGCATACTTCTTAACCCCAAAAATTGCTCCCAGGGAAGTGTTGAAGATGATATTGGCCTTGGATCGCTTTCCCGTCTGGGAAAAAAGGAAAGAACAGAAACCGTCGACACCAAAGCATTACTTCAGCCACTCTTTTTTTTTTTTTTTTTTTAACATGCACAAGAATTAAAACCTCAGAAGAGAGCTTACCACCTTTCCCTGTCACTCTGCGCTGGTGGGGCAAGGTATGAGCCCATGCACTGCCTCTTTATTATTTTCTGCCAGTGACACGGCAGCTAAGGGCACATTTGAATCAGGGGGGTTAAGAGGGCACTGTTTATTTGAAGGCCAGAGATGAAGGTCAAGTCCAGGGAAAGATGAGCTGAACTGTTTATTCATATACTCATTTGTTCATTCACTCAGTAAATACTTAATGAGGTCCTAGAGTTGGCCAGGCACTGCTCTAGCTGCAGCCGGAGCAGCAGTGAACAGAGTTCCCGCCCTACTGGCTCCTACACACTAGATTTCTTCATGTGTTTCAGAGGCTCGTATTCTCCCAAATGCCTAAGATCTTATGGCACCTGAAAGAGACACTTCCTCTCAGCCTTCAGAGACTTAGAAGAAAAGAGTTTTGCAAAGACAATTCCAGGAAGGAAGAAACAGCCGGTCTCCTCCCCTTTTCCTTTGTTCAGCTCCTTTTAGGATGTGCTCACCTGGATCACACTATTTAAAAGAAGTGAGGTGGGTGAGAACCTCCAACTTCCTGTGCCATCCAGGAATTCTCATGACCCAGAAGGCCCTTTCTTAGAAATAGAAGTGATGACTCCAACTGTTGCTTAATTCCCTGGGGGGTTGGCAAAGGTTTGCATAACTCAGGTGAAGACTTCCCAGTGTGGTTCCAAGCGCATGTCTAAAGGCTCTTCAGTCCCATCTACCCCTCCCTTTCTCTCCCCTTCTCTTCCCTGTCCCTTTACAGAACCACAGAGGGCTGTGAATCCTGATACTGCCTCAAGTCAAACCACGCTGTGGTAAACCAAACGCGACATCTCACACAAGGGCAGTAGGGCGAGAACAGCTTTCTGCAGCTTCATGACAGGTGTGCTCAAGCTGTGGACACTGGCTCTGACATGTGTGTTTGAGGAATGCTGGGAGTGTCCCCACCCAAATACCTCTTTCCATGAAGGTTTCAAGTTCTAGATCAACTTTTTTTTTTTTTTTTGCCTTTACAATTGGCATTTGCCTACTGTATTCTCAATGATGTTTATTAAGAGCTGGAAAATATTGCACCTGGGTGGCTCAGTCGGCTAAGTGTCCAACTTTGGCTCAGGTCATGATCTCATGGCTCCTGGGTTCAAACCCCACATCTGGCTCTGTGCTGACAGCTTAGAGCTGGAGCCTGCTTTAGATTCTTTGTCTCTCTCTCTCTCTGCCCCTCCCCTGCTCATGTTCTGTCTCTCAAACAATAAACATTAAAGAAAATTTTTTTAAAAGAGCCAGAAAATATACATAACCTTCACCTTAAGCAGGAGTAATTGAGGATATTGTATGTGTAAGAACAAACAATGTATGACCAATTGTCCAACTGTATGGAAATATTTAAACCATCTCTAACATGTCTCCCCAGGAGATTTCTATATACACATTGGAAAGAATGTTACAAAGACTATTTAATAACAATGAAAACATCTAAATTTGCATGGTATGATTGTAACCATGTTAAAAAAAAGTATAGGGAAAAAATAGACATATCAAATTGATAACAGCAGCTATATTAGAGTAATTGGATTATAGGGACTTCCTTTTTTTTCTAGTTTATAAACTTCCAATTATATAATTTTGTACATACATAATAAAAATTTAGAAATAAAAAAGGTATTTTGACATGGATAAAATGGAATTCTGGCATCACTGGATGGGCACCATCTGCCTTCCTTGTCTCTGTCCCTGGACATAAACATACCTTCCTGAAGTAGGCTTCTGACAAATACATGATCTTCTGGGGGGCCCCAGCACACTTCACAGGGGTATTTGGGAAGGTGAAGATGGCATTGCCCTCCTTGAAGTCCTGCAAAGCTCTCCATGTCTTCTCTACTGTCTTCACTGAGTAATTGGACCCGATTTTGGGATGCTCAAAACCTTCAGGTAAGCCTTTAATCTGCAAGAAGGCACACCAAGAAACTATTTTTTAACAAAGTGCAAATTCACAGGCATGTTAATTTTTTGACCAAAGTGAAAAAACTCTTGTTTAGAGCCTTTGTTCTCTGCCATTTCTAAAACCTCTCAAGTATTTCAGTCCAATTATTAGCCCCCAGTATTCACACACACATTGGAGCAGGCAGGTAGGTGGGTGAGGGATCCGCTTAGACTGTGGCTATGGGCCTGGAGTCAACTGTCAAACCACAGAATGGGCTCAGCCCCGGGGAACCCCTCTGCCTCCTTGGCCTCGGAGCCATGATTTGGATAGATCTCTTCCCACCATTACAGTGAGGACAAGAAACCACAGCCATACTTCCTTTTTGGAGAATTGTCTGCCTTCATGGGAAGAAGAAGAATGACAGGCAGAACCAACAGCCATATTGTCAATAATTGCAAACTTCACCTACCCATTATCAAAGGTTGTACCGCATTTTCAGCAACAGCCAAAGTATGGAAAGAACCTAAATGTCCATCAACTGATGAATGATAAAGAAGATGTGGTTTATATATACAATGGAATACTACTTGGCAATGAGAAAGAATGAAATCATGCCATTTGCAACAACGGGGATGGCACTGGAGGGTGTTACGCTGAGTGAAATAAGTCAGTCAGAGAAAGACAGATGCCATATGTTTTTACTCATATATGGACCTTGAGAAACTTAACAGAAGACCATGGGGGAAGGGAAGGGGGAAAATAGTTACAAACAGAGAGGGAGGGAGGCAAAACATAAGAGACTCTGAAATACAGAGAATAAACTCAGAGTTGATGGGGGTGGGAGAGGGGGCAGTGGGTGATAGGCTTTGAGGAGGGCACTTGTTGGGATAAGCACTGGGTATTGTATGTAAGCCAATCTGGCAATAAATTATATTAAAATAATAATAATGATAATAATAATAATAATTAAACAAGCAAAGGTTGTACCAAATGAGACTCTTAATAAAGGCAGGTAATTAAAAACATGGACTTGGGAACCCCACAGATCTGGCTTGAGTCCCAGCTTACAAGTGTTATAACCCTGGGTAAATTACCTAATATCCCTAAGCCAATGGGGTCTCAAAGCTGGGTACCTGGGAACTTACTAGAAATGCAAATTATCAGTCCCCACCCAGACCTCCTGATTCAGAAACTCATGGGCAGGCCCAGAAATCTGTTTTAACAGGCTCTCTGGGTGGTTCTAATGTACACTAAGAAGTTTATGTTCTTTGCCTATAAAATGGGGATAAAAGTAACTGCTTCAGAGGGTTATTGGCAGAAGTACATGAGACTGTGCATGTAAAGTGCTTGGAAAAATAACACCCACACAGTACATGCTCCATAAGTGTTAGTGTATCCCTGCAGGGAAGATTGGTCTTCAATGTTAGGAGGTTTATAGAGGACAATGAAGATGAAATAGATTGAGTTGAGAGTCAAGCACCAGTTCTTCCAGCAAGCGTGGAGAACCAGCAAACAACAGTCATCAAGATGTGCTGCTCCTTCAGAACCTCCCAGAGCCCTCCAGACCGGAGGTCCACCACTCAACACCCATCCCTCAGCTCTCAAGGAAACAGAGGGCTCCTCCTCAGTGTAATAAGCAACTATTTCTCCGATCGTATCTCCTGCTGCAGTTTAAGTAGTTATAATATCAGCAGTCTCAACAATCATCATTATCACTGTTATTATAAAATCACCTTGTGTTTTAATGTTTCTGAAGTTTCACTCCATGCTAACAGTGGATACTCGCTGCACACCTCTGAGGCATGACACAGAGGAAGAAACTGAGGAGAGCAAGGCTGAGAGACCACCTAGAACCTTACAGAACCAGACGCCAAGGCTCCTGACCACTGCCTAAGGTTCTTCTCACACGAACTCCATACTTCCTCGTTCCCAAAGCAAAACACACTATCCAAGAGATAAACAAATAGCTGATCTTTTATCTCCCTCATTACTTTCCTCTAGTTTGAAGACGTTGTTGTCAAGGGAAAAGGTGCCACAAAGAGGTAACCAGGTTCCTTTCAGGGAGACTGGTCACAAAGGGCAGTTTAAGACTCCTCATCATTCATGTTGCTTCCCTGGGAACTTGGGAGCAGAGAGAGGCAGGGAGAGTCACAGAAAGAGAGGAGATCCGACTCCTCCTGTGGCCGATCAGGTCAGGGAGCAGGACATTACACTGCAGGGACGCCATGGAGCTTGGTAGAGGAAGACGCAACTCGGTCCCACACAGCAAGGCAGTTTTCCTGGGAGTGTGGAAAAGCCCGCTGTTTTGCAAGACTTGCCATTAGGGCATGGACATGCTAAACTCGGATTAAAGCTTAAAGCTAAAATATATCATCATCATTGACAGAATCTTACAGGTGATTTTTTAAAAACCATAAAAATGACTGCTGAGGGGGAAAAAAAAAACTGGGGCGCCTGGTTGGCTCAGTCAGTTAAGTGTCTGACTTCGGCTCAGGTCATCATCTCACGGTTCGTGGGTTCGAGCGCTGAATCAGGCTCTGTGCTGACAGCCAGCTCAGAGCCTGGAGCCTGTTTCAGATTCTGTGTCTCCAGCTCTCTCTGACCCTCCCCTGCTCACGCTGTCTCTCTCTCTTTCTCTCTCAGAAATAAATAACATATTTTAAAACATTTTAAGAAAAAAAAAAATAAGATAACCCCTTAGAACTATTTCCTGTCAAAATGAATACCAAGCAACTAAATGCAGCATTTGATCTTAGCATAAATAGGCCAGTGTAACACAGAAGTAGTTTAAAATAGTACCTTCTCAGGGCACCTGGGTGACCCAGTCCATCAGCACTGGACTCTTGATTTTGGCTCAGGTCATGATCTCACAGTTCTTCAGTTCAAGACACACTGTCAGTGCAGAGCTTGCTTGGGATTCTCTCTCAATCTCTCTCTCTCTCCCTCTGCCCCTCCCCTGTGTTCTCTATTTCTTTTTAAAAGTAAATAAATAAATTTTAAAATAGTACCTTCTCATAGTCCAGTTGGATTCCAAGAGCAATAATAAGATATTTGTAGGAGATCTGCAACACAAAACAATAATATTTCAGACCATGATCCCAGGAGTGACAGCCCGCAGCCCCAGCCCTGTGTGGCTACCACCATGTTTCCATTTTTTAGTGTGTATGCCTTGAGGCTGTAGGTGATGGGCAAGGCACAGCAGGGAGACACACTCCAGTTTGCCATCATGTCTGCCATTCTCTGAAGACTCGCACCTCACACCTCAGTGTTTCACAAGTACTTTATTGTATAACACCCCCCTCCTGGGCTTGAGACTCCTATATTTTTACACAGTGGAGAGTGACACAATGAAGCCACAATTATTTGTATGGTGCTTGTGTTAACACTTCCTCATGCTGAGGGGTGGGAGAATCCCTTCCTGATCTTAAAAGCCAATCAACTTTCTTTAAAATCTATGGAGTAATATGTGAATCCCAAGCAAATCTGACCTGTCATATGGATTGGATCAACAGTATAAGTGAGAAACTGCTCTTTTGAGGGCCATGGAAAAGAATGTGATATAACATACCTGATCTGACTTAGTGATCTATTTAGAACCTAAAAGTACACTCCTTAAATATGGGTATTGTGATTACTCATGCCAAGGGCAAAAGTATCCATATTTATCATGATGGGAATGTGGGTTTAAGATGAGAAGGAAGACATGTTGAGGCCAGAAAAGTGTAAGCAAAAAGGATATAAATAAACAGGATTTGCATGGGCCCCTGGGTGGCTCAGTTGGTTAAGCATCCAACTCTTGATATTAGCTCAGGTAATGATCTTATGGTTCATGAGATCGAGCCCCACCTCCATCTCTGTGCTTACAGCACAGAACCTGCTTGGGATTCTCTCTCTCCCTTTCTCTCTGCCCCTCAGTCACTCACATGCTCTCTCTCTCTCTCTCTCTCCCTCTCTCTCTCTCAATAAATAAACATAAGAAAGGAAGAAAGGAAGAAAGGAAGGAAGGAAGGAAGGAAGAAAGGAAGGAAGGAAGGAAGGAAGGAAGGAAGGAAGGAA